GGGGGGGGGGGGGGGGGGGGGGGGGGGGGGGGGGGGGGGGGGGGGGGGGGGGGGGGGGGGGGGGGGGGGGGGGGGGGGGGGGGGGGGGGGGGGGGGGAGAAAAGGGCAATCCCTTTGGTCCCCACCCTCTAGGGAAAGGAAAAACCTTTCGGGGTCCCGTGCAGCCACTGGAGACACCCAACAGATAGATAGATAGATTTATTATAGGAATTGGCTCACATGATTATGGAGGCCAGGAATTCCCATGATATGCATCTGCAAGCTGGAAAACCAAAAATCAGCACCACTGATATCTGAGGGCAGGAGAAAATGGATGTCCCAGATCAAACAGAAGTAAACTTTCCCCTCTTCTGGCTTTATGCTATATTCAGATCCTCAGTGGATTAGATGATATGCACCCACATAGATGAGAGTGACCTTCTTTATTCAGTCTGCCAATTTAAATACTAATCTCTTCTGGAAACACTCTCACAGACACACCCAGAAATAATGTTTTACCAGCTATCTGGACATCCCTTAGCCCAGTCAAGTTGACACATAAAATTAACCATCACATCTGGGCATAGACATGAAGGGAAGTATAGATTACTAAGAGGCACAAGGAAATTTTGATGGGTGAAGAATGTTTATTATCTGGATTGTGATGATGGTTTCACAGGTATATACATGTGTCAAAACTCATCAAATTGTATATTTTAAATATGTGTAGTTTATTAGACATCAATTATTTCTCAATAAATTTGTCCAAAAAAAGTACGATAAAATAACTTTTAAAAAAATAACCTACACAACGTTAGCCCCAGTTTCAAATGTCTAGCATGAAGGGTATCAAGATGCGTAGAGCTGGTTACCTCAAAATGAAGAGTTTATAAATTCTTACACCAGAGACACTCATCTCTAACCTTTGGGCTTCTTGCCATGGAAGAATTAGCTACATACTCTGGCTTCATTGACCTTTTCCAAACTATTGACCCAGAAATATATACCCTGTCTTTTTTGAAAAATTAAGTCATTATTACTAGAACCTTGTGTATTAGTCAGGGTTCTCCAGAGAAACAGAACCAATAGGATGTGTATGCATATACAAGTTACTTCAAAAAGTTCATGGAAAGTAGAATTAAAAGATAATATTTCTATGAACGTTTTGAAGTACCATCATATGTAGAGAGAAAGAGGAATATAGAGAGGGAGAGAGACTGAGATTTATTAAAGGAATTGGCTCATATTGATTACAGAGGATGGGAAGTCTAAAATCTGCAGGGTAGGCCATCAGGCTGGAGACCTAGGGAGGAGCCAATGTTGCAGTTCAAGTACAAAGGCCATCCATCTGCTAGCAGAATTCCTTCTTGCTAGGAGGAGGAGGTGGTGTGGAGGTGGATGGGGTCAGTCTTTGTTCTATTCAGGCTTTCAACTGATTGGATGGATGTGGATTGCCACCCACATTATGGAGGGCAATCTGCTTTACTCAAAGTCCACTGATTTAAATGTTAATCTCATCCAAAAAACACTCTAACAGAAACATCCAGAATAATGTTAGACCAAATATCTGGGCACCATGGCTCAGACAAGTTGAGACATAAAATTATCATACCTTGTCACTGTCTCTTCCTTTTAAAGAAGGCTATGGGATATAGCTTATTGATAAAACAGTTATCTCACCTCTGATCTGTCCCTGTTAATCTCTATCTAGTATTCAGACCCTCGGGTTATGACTACAGCTAGAACAGGTTGAACAGTTCAAGTGTTCCCTGATCTCACAGAACTCACAGTCAGCTGTAAGGGAGTTTAGATAGGACTCTGATTGCAAGAAACAGTAATCCATTCAAGCAAGCTTGTTTAAAGAAAATGTAGTGGGGAGGGTGTTCTTCCAGGTATCTCATGAGTATCCCAAGAAAAGAAATGTGGTATTACCAGTGCTCATGGAATCTGGACCCAGGTGGCCAGAGCCAATGGATGCAGAGCTCTCTCCTTCTTGGGGGCCATGTGGTCTCTAGGGTTGTTTCTGCTTCTCTCTCTAGATCTACCTCTCTGCCAACTTGCTTTATTTATACGTAATTTCTATTTCCTTATGAAATTAGCTTGTCCGAGGCCATCTTGGTCATTCCCCAGCCTCTCTCTGGCCTCTTTCTGCATTGTGAACCTTCACTTCACTTCACTTCTCATTTTAGAGCGCTCAGTCTCTAGTTTTCCAATTCCAAATTCCCAGGACACAGAAATCTGGCTAGTCCAGCCCATCATCTCAAGCAGTTCTGTGAGACATAGGTTACTGGCTAGACCATGAACTATCTGTTGTTAGATCAGAAGATCAACCTGGGAACAATTAGCTGAGGGCAGCAGGGTGGATATGGGGCAGAAATGAAACAAAACATGGACATTTAGACCAAATGAGATCCAGGCAGTTAAATTTCACTACAAGGAGGCATGGGTGATGCTTCCCAGGCAGTGCTGCTGCTCTCTACTTTGTCCTGTGGCTGCCTAAATTCTAGAGCTGGCACAAGCTTCTACTCTGAGGCATCTAATTTTCTTACCTATAAACTAGTAAAAATGATATCTACCTGTGGAAATGTTAAAGGACATAATATGAATATATGTAAAACATCTTACACAATACCTGGCACATAGCAGTGCTGAGTAAATGATAGCTATCACTGCTCAGTCTCTGAAGTACTTTCTAAACTCTCTAAGGTAATTAAGATCAGTCTGAGGGACTGAAGGGTCAAAGCAATATTCAAATCCATCCCTATCGCTTCCTAGCTGTGTGACCTTTGGCAAACTACTCAATCGCTCTCTGCCTGTTTCTTCAACTGTTGAATGAGAATATCTACTTTACAGGCTTAGAATAGTGATTTCATAAGATGATAACCACACCACAATCAGTACCTCAACATTAATAGGCACTGAATAACTAATAGACATTATCATTTTGATTAAATAGCTACTATTTTAATAGCTTTGTTCTAATTACAAAACTACTGTGTGCTCTATGCAGAAAATGTGGAAAACACAGAGATATTTAGAAAAAGCATAAGTCATCCTTACCATCCAACCATAGATAACTTCTCAAAATATCAGATGTTTGACATTTACCAAAAAAAGTCTGCATAGGAGAAATGAAAAGAGCATCCCCCAGCCAGCTGGAAGCCAGCTTTCATTGCAATTTTTAACACTATGTATGTACAATTAATATTAAAATATACAAAAAATAGAAATTAAAAAGGATGAGATAAAAATAAAGTAGGTATTCTAGTGTTTTCTTCTTCCTGTACCCCACTTTGCAGACTGATGCCTACATGCCACAGGCAACATTAGCTCTATGTAATAAAAAGTTATATAATATGGGACCATTTTTCGTAGGTAAACAGCTCTATACACTACAGAGAGAGCATCACTGCAGTACATCCTGCTGTGGCATTTGGTGTTCATAATACCCAAATGAAGCATAAACTATGTTCCAGGTAATCATTTTAATGACACATTTTAGAAAAACTTACATGAGAAATGTTTTTAAAATTTCGGCACTTGATAGTATAAATTCAGCTATATGAAAATTCACTTATGAGAAACATGTTTCCATCAGTGCCAGATAAATGAGGCACTCTTTTTATTTGACACTAATTCTTACTCATTATTGAAATAACGGTTCAGAAATCTGTCAATGTTCTGTGGTAGCTATGCTGAACTGGACTTTCTTGATGGAAGCCCCAAATCTAGAATGTCACTAGGTTAATGTCATGATTTTGTCTTCAAGTCATATAGCTTTTGTGGCAAATACAGGGCAATAAAAAACTTTGGATGTTTCCTAACAGTAGAAAATATAAAATTAATCACTTAATAACATACATGATCTTGAATGAGTGAGCCATCTTAGCTCTCTGTGGAGTGTTCCTGCTTATAACATCATTTAAAGTCTAACCAACTATGCAGTCAACAAAATCAGTAATAATTTCTGAGTAAAAGCTAGATATACTATATTTTCAGATGTTGATGATGACATGAGATTTAGCAGTTTTAACCTTGGTTGGTATCGCGGTGTTGAGATCATGGGTCTTGGAAAAATATTGCCTCTCACATGAATTATCCCCTATCTTCAAATCTTGCAATATACTGCATTCCACAGAGAAAGTCTGCTGTTTTTTACATCAAATCCTTATTCACAGTATTAGGTAGGAATTATGTCTTGTGTAGGAGACACATCCCCAAGGCTCTTTTACTCAGTATAGCAAGACTTTATTAAGTGTCTGTTACATGCATGGCACTTCAAAGTCTATAAAAACACACATGAAAACTTTGGAATAGCCGCCTTCCAGGAAACTTATCAGGTCACACTTTAATAACCAGGAGATTCACAAACTGTATCAAAGGTGAGGTTAACATCTCATGCACTTCTATGAACACTTCTGAGAATGTGAAGTCAGCCCTACAAGTCAGGGCTGGCTTGTAAAAGAAACAAATGGTTCAATAGATAATATCTGAGGTAAAAGCTGTTGAGACTGAGTTAGTCATGTATCACATCATTCTTTTAAACTTCAGGGAAGGCACAGCCCTACAAGTCAGGGCTGGCTTGTAAAAGAAACAAATGGTTCAATAGATAATATCTGAGGTAAGAGCTGTTGAGACTGAGTTAGTCATGTATCACATCATTCTTTTAAACTTCAGGGAAGGCACAGTGTTCAACCATGAACTACAGATTTCTCTAATTTTAAAATCAGACTTTGTTTCTTAACTGTGGCATCTGTGATTTTTAACATAATTATTCTGACATTTTACCTCATCAATAATACAAAGCATTTGCATAAACAATACGATTATACAATTCCTTATGCTAAAGAAGCAAAATATATCTCCTAATTTAGCAGCAAGACTGCCATGCATCAAACTTCACTAACATAGTGGACTTCTATCCCCAAAATCCTATCACAGAAATGTTAAACACTTTAAAATATGGTCAAAACATTTCATGAAGCTTTTACACAATGCAGATTTAGTTAAGCTGTTACTTCTTTTTCTGTTCAATTTTGTTGCACCTTTCACTAGGCATGAATAATTTATTTAAATCATGTTTTCTCAGTTTTCATCGCTCTGAGACAATGTGAATCAAGATATTTGATCCCTCTGGAAATTACTATGCAATGCTACTTTGTCCTTGAATTACAACATAATTCAATAAAACTAGCAATCTCATATACTTTTATTCCACTCGGTTCCACTTTATGGAATTGACATTTTATTAAACAAAATGTAAAAAAAAAAACCCCAATATGTACATTATTAAAATCTCTTTATTTTTGGTGAGAGTAAATTTAAAAATCTGAAATCAATGGGAATTTACAAAATTTTAAGTGGGGATCTTGTATTTTGAGGACAAAATGGCTTTATCTGTTAGAAATAGCATTGAAATCTCTCTATAGCAAGCAATTCTCAACAGCTTTATCACAGCCTTTTATCAATATCCACAAATAAAAACCTATTGCACCTCTTGAAAAAGCTTGAATTCTACAAGGTTGGCAATGGAAATGCCTCAGTGAAGACTGGCTGAACTGCATACCCTGAAGTTTTTTACATCTACAGTCTACTTTACAGTTGGCTGATTTCTGATCCCGCTACGTCTTCTTAGATTGTGACTGACTCTTCCCAGCAAGATGTGGAGTCTGTACTCCTTTTCACCAATCTATGATTTTTGTCTCTAGGACTTGCCACTATTGTAACCAAGAGTATGGTGGAAATGACGTTACGTGACTTGGAAGGTTAAGTCCTAAAAAAAGCTAGCTTCCACCTAGATCCATTGGATCCCTGAATTAACACCCAAGTCCAGTTGCCCTGAAGCATTCATGCTATAGAGCTGGTAGGATGAGCCACTAACAGGTTAAAAGCTTTGACAAAAGCTTCATAAGATCTACATAAAATCCAGAGCCAGAAGATTCCACCAGAGAGATACTGCTGAATCCCTGATCTACAGAAAGCTTATTTTATGCCATTAAATTTTAGATACTTTGTTACACAGCAATAACTAATGTACATTGCTGATGCTAAGTATCTTAGCGACCACTTGGTTGGGCTCAGAAGACCTTCCACTCCACCTTTTAACAGTTTGGTCCAAATTTGCACCTAACAACCCTTCCTTTCTCTCTGCAGCACAGGTAAAATTTAAGGTTGGAAACTTAAATAAGACAGGACGCATCTGGCTTCTAAATAAGTTTTTTACATCTATGGCTGGCCAGTACACCTGGAGTTTGGTGTTATAAGAACCACACTCTAACCAACTGAGCTAAATGGCAACTATTTCAGAGTTAAATCTTTAAAAAGCTACTTTTTAAAATAATTATCAAGTCACAAATCATGAACAGTTGGGTTTATTTCAACATTAAGTTTGAAATTCTTGCCTTAAACAAGAGTACTACAGTAATGATATCAGGAACAGGCAAATTTTCTACATTGTCAAATATATAAAAGTTCCTTTTGTACTTTCTTCAACACTGATCAACAAGCAGATTCAGTCCATATTTGCTGTGCTCTATCTACTGAGTTAACCCAAGCTTCTTCTTCAGAGACTCTGGCATCTCGGGTGGAGGAGGACGAGGGAGCCTGAAGTAGACCTTCACAGAGTCATAGATGAACCACTGTAGTGCAGTCAGAGTACCAATCATGATGATACGGGCAAAGAGTCCCTTCCATACACCTGGTTCAAATAAGAAATATAAATGAAAAAATGTAATATATCCAAGTGTTTGTTCTTTCTTTAGAGGAAAAAAGATATCACCCTACCTCTAAATCCAAGTCTTTTGAGGACCTGAGAAGCACTGCTACCTTTCTCTTTATTCAACACAGATACCACAGAATCAGCAGGGTGGGAAACAATTGCACAGAAGACTCCAGCTGAAAAATGTCAAGGGAAATGATCCAATATGGGGTTAGTTAAAAAAATTCACATCATTGCCAACAATCTTTTTTCATAACTTTAAATAAAACTTTAGTTCTATTAAAAAAAAAAATCAGATTTAGGGTGACACTAGTAAGTAAAGATATAAAGCAGTACACCCTATGTAAAATAGAACAATCCTTTAAAAGTTTTTATATTCCAACTTTAGTCAACACTTCCTCTTGTATTAAAAATTTATTCTTGATAAACCAAATTAAAAAATGGTGCAGCAGTGAGATCAATATGCCTAATAATGACATACCATAAAACAATCAGCAAACAATAAAACAATCCTTTTAGAAACTAATTAGCAAATATTTATGAATACTGAAGGGCAGGTATAATGTTATGGGAAGATAAAATTGCCTTTAAACCTTTGGAATATTTTTTCCTCACAAAAAGGGCCCAAAATGGAAATGACTATTTGTCCATAATTTCACAAACAAGTGTGTTCTAAATAATTCATACCTATGTAACCTGCCACAAATGTTACAACCAGCTGCTCTGGCTTTGTACATTCACTCCGGGGCTTAGGAACTACAAACTTGTACAATGCTTCAACAGTACGCTCAAAGCAGGCAAACTTCATCATGGTGTATGGTATCTGTCTCATCCAGAGAGGAGCAACCCCCTTGTAGAATCTAGGAAATCAGGAGACTTATTTTCAGTTGCACATATTCATCTAACAGAGATTTTCATCATTAACAGTAGTGTCCGCACACCAGTCAAGTCCTGATAGTAAAAAATGGCAGCATAACTGCATGTCATTTCTATCAGAACGTTTGACTAACATGCAGGTATATTTATCTCACATGCCAATGACTCAAGCACCTTTGACTATACAACCAAAAAGTTGCTGGATGTTTCTTTGACTTGAACCACAAGAAACAAGAAGTTTACAAGTAGAACTCAGTTCAAGATTCATCCACAAAGGTGGATCTAAGGAAGCATGTTTTGGCCTGATTACATAAAAATTCTTAACTGTGAATAGATTATAAAAATTTTAACAAGCCCTCTCCCAAAGTTAATTGTTCAGACCAAATAGCAAGTCATCTGTAGACTAACAAACGATCTTTACTTTAGGAAAAAAATTTAATACAGGGTTCAAACCATGAAACTTATCCTTGCCCCTAGAGTTCATGTTCTATACACAGGTAAACAGACATTAAATAACGTAGTAGTAAAAAACAAAAGTCTGGTGGGCTTAATGCTAAGAAATGAAGTTGCCTCAAAATGAGTATTTTTATACTATAAATGTAGGCAAGTGTTTACTTACGCTTTTAGGCCTTCTTCCTTATACATTTTGGGAGCTGCATCCCTCAAAGTGTTCGCATAACCTGGTTGGGTTTGAATTCGAACCTTAGTAGCTTCCATAGGAGCCAGGGCAATGTCAGCAAAGAATTCAGCACTGGCAGAGGCAGCCAAATATAGTGATGTGCGCCAGAGATACGCATTCTCCTAAAACATAAAACATAAGGAGAGACCTGAATTGCTGTTGCATTGGCAGTTTTCAATTTAAGTGACAATTCTAGGAAATAACTAAACTTCAGACACTTTTAAAGTATTCTTATCACAGAGTCCATTTATAACACACGAGACTGAATATATGTTGCCTCTCATAACCTCATTAACCAAATGCTTAATTATAGTACCATGTAAACACTATACAAAGGAATCCCAGAGCTAAAAAATTCAAAACCCAACTTACTTAGAAAGCAATATAATGTAATAAAAAGGGCACTGAAATCTAATGAAATACATTTTCTGTTTCTCATCCTGTCTCAGCCTTACGATTTGAGGCATGTTGCTCAATCTGGAACCATTTCCTCAGTTCTAAAACAAGGTGGGTCAGACAGGACATATCTAGGAACCTTTTTTTGGTCTTAAACTTTGAGTTAAACACTTAGGACTTCCAGTTTCAAAGTTAATTACATACCTCTCCAAGCATGTTGCTATACAAGACTTTAAATACTTCATAAAAGCCAAACTTGCAGAGCCCCTGCATAGAGTAGCCAATGAAAGTAGGAGCCCATCCTTTAGCCAAACCACGAACACCATCCTCTTTAAGTGTAACTGAGAATCCATTAAATATGCCCTTGTACTTTTGGGGGTCCACCTTTATTTAAAGAAGAAAAAAAATTAATAGAATGTACCAAAGAGCTAACACATCTCATAAATACTGAATTTCATTATTCTTAGTTTTCATTTTGGTTCTAAAATAAATTTCAGTAACTGCACAAAAGGAACAACAGTCCTTCCTTATTCAAGGTTTCACTTTCTGCAGTTTCAGTTACCCACAGTCAACTAAGGTCCGAAAATATTAAGATAGAGAGAACATTCACATAAGTTTTATTAAAATATAGTTATAATTGTACTAGTTTACTAGTTATTGTTAATCTCTTACTGTGCCTAGTTTATAAATTAAACTTTATCATAAGTATGTATGAACAGGAAAAAGTACAGTATATATAAGGTTCAATACTATCTGCAGTTTCAGGTACCATCCACTGGAACTTATCCTGCTTGGATGAGGGGGGAATACTGTACAAGATATCAGTTTATTATCTATGATTATCTTTATAAAGGAAACTTTAGTACATTAAGGCCTAGTTTTCTTTGAGTCAGACTTACCTCTTGGAGGGATAGTTAAAATTCCAACAAAAATACATAATAAAACTGACTCCTAAGAGATTTCTTACTACTACTACTACTAAAAAATTAGTTTTACAGCTATTTAAATCTGTATACCTAATATATGCTACTCCACTAAGTAGATTATACTATAAAGTTTTGTGAACATTAGACAAACTGAATACAAGTTAAAAAGGTACACCGATATAATGAGAATCTATCTTTTGACCTAAATAAATTTACTTAAATTCACTTCAAGAGACATGCATACAAAGTTTTAGTGAAGGTATCTCATATTCATTCTATTAACTAATGGGGAAAAAAAGCTTATCTCACTATTTCTGCCAGTGCTAGAAGGACTAGTATACATCACCTTCCTCTCCCTTCTAATATTTCACCTTCCTTTCTCTTTTAGGTTAGTAGACTTCTAATCCTGTTTGGGACAAATAAATTTTTGATGTTTTATTATTTTTGATTCAATATTGCTAATTGAAAGATATTCAGGGCCGGCCCAGTGGCGCACTGGAGTGTGCGCCGCTTGAGAGTGCGGCAGCGCTCCCGCCGAGGGTTCGGATCCCATGTGGAGACCAGTTCCTGCTCACTGGCTGAGCGCGGTGCGGGCGCAGCACCGAGGGTTGCGATCCCATTACCGGTCAGTAAAAAAGACAAAAAGGAAAAAAAAAAAAGAAAGATATTCAAATTACAAATTTTTATATAATAAATATACAAGAGGTTACGCCCAGAAAATGTTCATATTAAGATATTAAGAGCATTTTAAAGAAATCTACATGTGCTCTTTGCCTTGGTCTTATCAATAGACAAGGGACATGAAGTTACTTCACATAATACACAAAGACTGATTACCCACTCTAACATATAAGTGCTTGAAAAATGACTGGGGCATAAAGGACTATTAGGCCTTGAAGAGGAACTCTGGCTAGAACTGAACACCAGCAGAAAAGAGCCATCTACAGCCAGAGTCTAAGAGCAAACAATCTACCCACACTCTTGTTTTTAAAAAGGCATTCCTTGGATTTAAGACACTAAAATAAAGACCACAGCTTAAAGAAATGTAGGTTTGGTTTCCTACTGAAGTTTCTAGCAGTTGTGATTTCTTTAAAGTTTCCTCTTTTGTGAAGTCCTTTAAGGTTATTAAAATTAAGTCATATATACTTTCAATGTTGTCATCTCAATACAAACCTGCATACGGCATTTCACTAAATCCAGGGGAACGACAGCAGTGTGTGTCAGACCACAACTTAAGACCCCACCAAAGCCACACAGTGCATAAAACTTCATGGAGCCATATTCACAACTGTACTCTGTAATAAGATAAGACACACCATGCATTTTAATATAAAACCCATGTTACTAGTAGTCATCAACTTACCTCCTGGATAGTTAGGTTTCCACACAGCTTATTAGTAGATGACTACATCTTACAACTTAACAGCCATGCTTCAGTATGCTTTAGTCCAGCATGCAAAACAAACCTGCATTCTGCATTTAACCAGATCTAGAGGAACCAATGCTGTATGTGTTGTGCCACAGCTAATAATTCCTCCAAGTCCACAAAGGATAAAGAATCTGCCAGATCCATAGTCACAGCTATACTGCTCTGTTTGATTGAAAAAAAAAAAAAAATCAAGTAAGTATCTCTTCAGAGATGACTAAGGCCATGGGAATGAAAGAAAACTATGTTTCCCTGTGAAATAGTTCTATCACAGCTGAACAGCTTAGGCCATGGTTTAATGAAAATTCAATGAAAAAGATGATTTTCAACCTAGTTTAAATAAGAAGAAACTCACTACCAAAATCAGATCCTTTAAAAATTATGAGGTTCTATACCTTTGAGATACTAGCTATCTCTTACGTTAAAATTATGGCAAAATAACTTTTCTACATTAATGGCTTCTACAATTAAAATCAAACTTCAAATTATTAACCGCTGATAAGAGTACACTTCAGAGTACAAATCAAACACAGATCATTCAACATATAAAAAGCTTGCAAACACTTCAAAGTTTACCCCAGCTACTAACCAATATCATCCCCACTTATGAACCCCTTAACATAAAACTAGCTACACACAAATTCCCGCAAATACATTGAATACACAAATGTTAACTTCAACTTTTTAAACTGAAAGACAACGACAGTGTAAAGACTTTTTCATCAATACTAGAGATATAACAGAAGCACATTAACGACTTAAAAAGAAAACCTTTAGATTTTTACAGGCACATGTAGATAACATTCTCACGACTCCTACAATTCGGTTGTCAGGTTTCTCTGTATATACACTGCACTGGGATTTAAAACACACACAATTAAGTTAAAACTGAGCCCAACCACCATGAAGCCCAAGAGGTAAGACCAGAGGGATGCCCACCAAGAATCCCTCTCTATAGCCTATCTGGGGCTGCAAGCCGCTTCCTCCACCAGTCGCATTAACAGAGACCCAGTTATCTCATACACAACTAAGTGGAAGCTAATATAAAACTCAGGAAATACCTGAGGGAAGGAGGAGTATTTTTAAGAAAAATAAAGGCAAATCAAAGAACAAGTAATACAGTCACAACTGTGAGTGGACAGTGGTTAGGAAACTGACTTTACCCTATCCTTAGTCAGCTGACCAAGAGGGGTCACAGCGGAAAAGATAAGGAGCCAGTCACGGCTTCTACGCCCTCGCGGACACGGAGGTCACGAAGGGACGCTGGGCCTAGGCCCTTCCACGCCCTTGAGGGAAGGCCAAGGATCCGACACCGGACTAGGGTGGAAAGGACTGACACCTCAGAGGGAGCAACTGGGCGCCGTCCTAAGGTGCAGCGGGCCGGGCGCGTCCTTCCTCGTCCTCCAGGCCGGACCCAGGCCTCGAAGGCACAGCGGACCACGAGTGGACCTAACGACCGCATCGGGGCAGAGCCTGATCTCACCTTCCACGGCGGCGGCTGCCAGATTGCGGGAGCGGCGGGGCGGGCCCGGGGGCCCGGCGGGGCTGCGGCGGCGGTCCGCGAGGCCATCGTGCACCAGCTGCAGCTGTGGCGCGTTAAAGGGGTTCGCCCGCGCCAGGTGCGCCACGGACGAGAACATCTCCCTAGGGGGAGAAGGAGCAGCGGTTAGAGGAACCGGGCCGGTCAATGTCACCGGATCCCTGGGACCCCTATCCGGGCCTTCTTCCTTCCCGCCTCCGCGCCCTTGAGGAGGTCACAGCGGCCTTCCCAAGGGAGGCCGCGCCTGACCGGGCCTACAGCCAACGCAGCAGCCCCTCGGGGGCTCCGGGCTCTGCTCTCCGCACCCACCGTGGGGAAGGCTGAGCCACACTCACCCCCTAAGATGGCGAACACCCAACCACTCCCTTGGAAAGGTTGCAGCTCACAGAGGCCGAACGTCCTCCCGGAGCTCAGACCTGTGCCCTTCGCGCGTCGTCAGCGTGACTCACGCACACGTCACCACAGGCCCATTGGTGGAGAAGAGCGCCGTGGACGTAGCGTCATCGCGTTCTCCTAGCAACCTTATCCCCGCCCCCGCCCGGCCCAGCCTGTCCCGCCCGGCTTGTACGCAGGAGGGTTCGTTCTGCGCAGGCGCGCATTTCTTGCCGCGCTTCTGAGTGATATCGGGGTTGGGCTTGGACCTGTTCCTCTCTTTGTCCCTTCACCTTCAGGTGTCTGTCCTTGACGCCAGGGCTTCAGTTCTTTCCATTTAAGTGAGTCCCAGTGTATAGTAGTCACTTAAAAAAAAAACACGAATGCTATTTTATTTAGGTGTTAGGTTAGAACACTACAGTATTTTGTGTCACAACTTCTGCCATTACAGTACTTCTTTTTAAAGTTCCACCCATTAACATTAAACATAAGTATGTCTGCATTTTCCATCAGACTTCAGGAGAATATTATAAAAGGAAATGTGCAACGAGAACTCTTAAAGTAGATAAGACAGCTTGCTGCTTCATCACTATTGTCTATATAATACATTAAAACATGCAACAAATGCTAAACACCTGGGTGTTAGAGGAACAAAGTAGAGTGAAAGTGACTGACAGATTTTGTGTATGTGTGTGTACTTAATGAATCTAGAAAATCTCCATTAGGTTCGGTTCCACAAGAAGGGGCCTAATTTAGAAGGGGGAGTTTAGTAGCTGTCAAACCCGTTAGAATTCTGGCTCTAATATTTTCCCAGCTCTTGAAAAAGTAACTTTGGCAGTTGACTTGATCTCTGTAAACCTGTTTCTTAAATGTAAAATTGGGGTAGGGCCGGCCTCGTGGGCTCATTATCTGTACAGTTAGACAGGGCCTGACGCTTGCAGTCACCATTCTGAAATGCGTAATGCATTTATGTACAAGGGGACCTGCATTTTTAATTCTGCACTGGGCCCTGCGAATTATGTCGCTGGCCCTGGATAGGAGTGATACCTACCTTGCAGAGTTTATGAGAACTCAACGAGGTACTGTCTAAAAGTCTACAAAATACGCTCTGTAAAAAATTAGCTATTGTTATTCAGGCAGGATTTTTTTAAACTCTCACATTTTGTCTGCTTCAAGAATAGAGACTACCACCTGAAATATTACAACTGGGTGTACATGTAGGCAAAGGATCCTTAAGTAATGCCCAAAGCAATGTACAAAGAATGAGGTAGACAAAAGACTTAAGGAGGCACAGATTGAAAGAGCTCATTTCCTAAAGTATGGCAAACTGCTTTTGAAGCAAAATGTGCTATGAAGGCTGGTTTACGGAGGGAAGGAAACACACGGACACGCGACCCCCTCGGCAGAGAAGAGATCTGAGGCAGTAGCGTCCATCGCTTTCTCCTAGCAACCTATCCCAGCTCCCTCTTTTCCATCGGGCAAAAGTCCCAGGAAAAATTCAGGGAGTAGAGGGTGCAGGCAGGAAGTGGTACCAGATAAAGTTGAAAAAGTGCACTAACACCTGGTTGTGCAGGGCCTCACATACCAGACTGAGGAGTTTGATCTTATTATGCATTCAAAATGGCAGGGGGTGGGGGGAAGGGAAGGGGAGATTAATTCAACTGTATGGTACTTTTCTGATTTAAAAATTCTTTGTCATTAAAAAAATCAAATTTTATCTAAAAATATATGACTGTAGTGAATCCTTCTGCTCCTCTCCCCCAGCGCCATATAATACTATTTGTTTTTCACACATTTTTCTGCTGGAGCAGCTGGCGCCCTTCACCATGGTGCTGCACATTCACCTGGCCCAGGTCAGAGATAGACGGAGGAGATCCATTGGTAGCTGAAGGAGATGCCCAGCTCCTACCCCTTGTCAACAAGGTGACCTTCAGTGTGAAATGGCTGTTGCTTCACTGCTGCCTTCCAAATCCTGCACAAATTTCTCTTGTAGCTAACCCTACTCAAAACTAAACAGTGAAATAAATTCTAGGAAATGTAGTTCCAGCTTAGCTAAACAGGCATAGTAAAAAGCACCACAGTCCATTCCTTATCAACTTGGCATCAATGCACACCTCTTTTAATTGTATTTAACTTTCAAATAAAGGCTGACCAGTTTGCTCAGTTGATTAGAGCACAATGTTGATAACACCCAAGTCCAGGGTTCTGATCCTTACTGACCAGCTGCAAAAACCAAAAAAACAAACAAAAACAAATCAAAAAAACAAGCTAACTTCCAAATAAAGACTAAATAGCAAAATCAGGCTTCCACCTAACATGATACAGCTCTCTTGTGCAATTCTAAACACTAACCCTCCCCCCAAAAGACGATATAAAATCCTTCCATCTCCATCCTTGGGTGATGTTCATTCTAGCTGAATGTTCTCTTCTACGTGAATCACCCTTTATAGCTTACAACATAAATACTAAGATATAATATTATGTATTATTAACACACCTTATTACGTTCAATTGGTAAGAGAATGGGAGAGGGGAAGAAACGAAAAAAATTGGTTAATATATGCACAAATGTATTCATATCAAATAAGCATTACATCACTTTCTTAGGACTAGGAGGAGCTAGATACAGCAACTTAACCTTTCCTGAGAAAAGGATAAATCAACCTGCCCCAGACCTCTTGCCTAGTCACTGCAGAGAAGTGATCAAGGTCCTTGAGAACAATGACATAGGGCTGGAGAGTTAACACAGCTCTGAAGCGAGGCAGTGAAGATGTATGGCTGGCTCTACCAGCTGGAAGAAAACTTTCTGAAGGTCTTTACGTTATCTAGTAGGTAGAGAGAAAAAGCATTCACTAGCTCAATAGCTGCATACCAGGTGCCAGGGAATATGTTGATTTTCTCCAGCAACAAAATGGTATCTAGAATAGCAGCGGCAATTGGAGTCATCACCTGATTAAGTTTACAGTAACCCACTGTTATTCTCCAAGATCCATCTGTCTTTTGCATAGGTCAAATAGGCCAGATGAATGGGGATGTGGTAGGAATCACCATCCTGGAGCTTTAATGTCCTTGATGGTGATGGTAATTTCTGCAGTCTCTCCTTGAATGGGGTATTGCTTTCATTTTAATATTTTGGTAAATAAAGAAAGTTCTAGCAATTTCCTCTTGGCCTTTCCTATCATACTAGCTCTCATTCCATGGATCAGGAAACCAGTGTGGGGACTCTGCCAGTTGTTGAGTGTATATATTCCAACTATGCATTTTAGATCTGGGGAAATAACCACAAGGTGAGTTTGGGAACCCACTGGACCTACTATGAGCCAAACCTGAGCCAAAATTCCATTGATTACTTGACCACCATAAGTCCCTTTTGAGATTGATGGCCCACAGAAGCATCTTGGGTCTCTAAGAATTAATGCCATTCAGAACCAGCATGCAATTATATCTAGAAAGTTTGGTTATTTCTTCTTCCTTATTGCATAGTCAAACTAGTAAATGCTGTAGTTCACTTTAAAGAAAGCCAGGAGGAAAAATTACAGTATAAAATTTGGACTGTATAGCAGAGTCCTTCCTCAAGGGGTGCTAAGGTTTGAATGTATGTGTCCCTCCAAAATTTGCATTTTGGAACTTAAGTCCCAAGGTGATGATGATATTAGGAGAAGGGGCTTTGCCCTCTTGGATGGGATTAGTGCCATTATGGAAGGACTTGAGGGAATGAGCTTGTCCCTTTTGCTCATCCATCTCTTCTGCCATGTGAGAACATGGCAAAAAGGCACCATCTTGGAAGCAGAGAGCAGGCCTTTAGCACACACTGAATCTGCTGGCTTTCCAGCCTTGAGAACTGAGAGAAATAAATGTCTTTATTTATAAATTACCCAATCTAAGGTATTTCATAATAGCAGCAGGTATAGACTAAGACAGGAGGGTTGGCCTTCTCTACATTCAAGGGGCTCAAATTTCCCTAACACAAATAGGGAAATTTCTTGTGGGGCCATCACTCTCCACTGTGGAGATTCAAGTCAGACTCAAGTCAGTTATCCAGATCTGGAGTCTTTTCCCTTATACAAATAACTAACTTTGGTAGGCTGCTCATCTATGTCAGTTCTAAGGGCACCATGATCAATTAACCAATGCCAAATAAGGAGATATCTCTGCAGATCAAACCTTTCTGATTATTGCTTCTGCTGCCCATTACAGTACCCATGTCTACCTTGTCTTTGGTGATTAAGTGAAGCCACTTGGCACTGCCACCCCAGGATCCCATTGAATTTAGGGAGCTCCAGTTTGATATAGTAGTGTCGATCATCATTCCTGGCCAACAGAGAATGGCTACTGGGGCTACTCCTATACATGTATTTCTCATATCCTTAGTAAAGGATTGTCCTCTGAACTCTCTTAAGGAATATATTTAGGAGATATGTGAGCCTTTTTTTTTTTTTTTTGAGCATATCTTAAAGTAATAAACATATTCTAGCATTCTAATCTCTCTGAACTTTTAGATACTATAAAAGAAAAAAGTCATTCTGGTACTGGTGAACAGTAGGCAGATTTTACACTGGACTGTCACAATAGGTGTAGAGACTACAGCAATGAGGTTTTGCAGTAGAGAGAGATTGGGTTCAACACCAAATACAACAGAGAAGTGTGGATTCATGGTCAAGGAGCAGAGTGGGTGGGGGAGTTGAACAGAAAGTACTAAAAAGGTAGGCTAATTTTTGTTAACGTAACCAATAGGATTCTTGCTGAAAGCAGGCCAGAGTGATCAGCATCACCTGGGAAACGGTGGAAGATGAGGAATTTGATCAAACATGAAGGGTGATCAAATATCGAGAATGGGGTATTCTGGCTAAACCAACTTGACAGGATTCTTGCTGCAAGTGGGCTCTTGGAGGGACATGGCCAAAGATGGGGCCTAGTTGCAAAAGGGTTCAGAGGAGCCTGACTAAAGTTTGATCAAGGAAAGTCTTTGTTAATACCTTCCTATTCAGTAACCAAGTGCTATGGGTTGAATGTGTCCCTCAAAAATTCATGTGTTGGAAATTTTTTTTTTCTTTTTTTTTTTTTCATTTAGCTCGTAA